AAAATTTGTACGTCGACACATTCTCGTCTAGTACACATCGCAAGTAGTAGCCAACGCTGAATGCTGTATGATGTTGATAAGTAAATCTGTTTCGTAGTATTAATTCGCTCTCCTCCTCCTCCTCCTCCTTCTCTAACGCGCACTCCAAATCGGCGTATATCACGTAGGGAAGTCTCTCTTTTCGTTCGTAGTTGTGAAAGTTGAGCCATTTGTCATCCTCGTTCGGAAGAACGATCGCGCATTCGTTCATCCTTTCGCAATCCACGATGTGAATGGACAATCGTTCCCTCGAGTGGAAGTAATGCAGACATCTGAAATGTATTATACAATGTAAACAATTCACATTTCTCTCTCTCGAGGTACTTACCGATCGCAAATATACTTCTTGTGGTTTCCTCCGGATAACTGACTTCCAACCAATCGCGATAAATTCTTTATCCACGCGAAATGACCCTCGTGAACGTAATTTCGCGTATCCGACAGATACAGCAAATTTATATGAATATCTCTTTTATGATCAGTGAGACGCAGAGGAACGATCGTTCCATCCTTTTTTTCATCCTTCGTGGTAAACACATTGATGGACATATCGTTTAAACGTTCGAATCTTGAAATTCGTTTCAGGGACATAGGAAAGTCTATTCCATCGAGCTTTAACACCGTTTGATAATCGGGATACTGACTGCATCTCGAGGTATTCTTCTCAGCAGGATACAAAGCCGCAACCACAGCCCACGCGAAACATGCGTTATCCAGTGATTTCACGTTCACGACCGCTCTCTTCAACTTTATCACTTGCGGCATATCAATCCAACATCCAACACGCATAGGATTACATCTGTTAACATTAATCATTAAATTCATTATGCGTGACAACGCCCACCCACTGTCACGCTCCTGAAACTCCTCCAATGCAGTCAAAGTTGTATCGATCACAGTCTTGTTGTACCATTCAAGTAGATCCGTGGTAGGAAAAAGCTGTCGGTTTTTCGTGGTGATGCTCTTTACAGCAGTCTTGTTATTCGCAACGAATTCCCCATTGAACACTGTGTTGATTTTCACACAAGCGTGTCTATCCATATTCTCGCGTACCTTCTCAATCACCATGTCTCTAGCGTCCTCGAGAAATCGTCTAGGCTCAATGTAGCGGGAATTGATTACCGCACCTGTGAGTACCCGCCTCCGAAAAGCTGTCTCAACCTCCAACCATGTAAATCCATTGTGACCTGCACCAGTATGAACTAAACGACCTCGCAGTTCGGTCCTCGCTCCCTCTAGACGCGCGATCAAAGCAACAAGAGAATTGACCGTTCCAGTTGGGTTCCCACACCTTTGACACTCTTCCCTCAACGATTCAATACACTCCTCACATCGACGCTCCCGCGAATGATATTCGTCCTCGTTGAACACAGTCGCAGCGTTCTCGATCAACTCGCTTGCCTTCAGATTCATTTTCGTTTTTTTTTCATCCAAAAAGAACGTCCCTAGCTTAGTTTCGGAATTCTGAATTTCACTCGCTGTCGAATAAGCTTTTTTTTCTTATCAAAATAATATCTATTCGGTAGTATTCCATTCATATACATCTGAGCTCGATGACTGAACGCTACCGATGTTTTTATCCACAGCTCTTCCCGCAGACACTTGGCGCCGATTTCCCTTCTCAAATGATAACATGCCAAATTCCATCGCGCGTCTTCCTTCACCACAATATTATATACGGCGTATTCTGTTTTCATACAATTGCAGTCATACATGCATGGGGATGATGATGATAACGTCTCGTCGCAATACAATTCAACCTCATTCTCGTTGTCACTGTCTAAGGTATTCCTGCTCATAACAGACACGGTTATTTACACTTAACAATTTTTTCTACACCATCGCTAAGAACCTGTACGTTGAACATGATGTTTCACCGAACTCGATCGTTGCGCGACGCTACGAATACTGTGGCTATGATCGCTCGCGCTTTTATTCCTCCTTCGTCACCTTGAGAATTCGGGTTGTTCTCACCACCATTGCAAATCTGACACACTTCCTGCCTGCGTGATCACGCAGGAATGCTAGACCCTATCTCCCAACCACACACCTCACTTCTTGTGCAAGGTCGCGCGTGTTACAAACCTCGCACTTCCACCGGGAAAAAAAGCATCTGACGCACTTCCTGCCTGTCGGCTCGCCCCACCAGATCCTGCTCTCGTTGTTCCATGTTGTCGCGCTTTTTTATTTTGTACAAATTGGACACATATTACACGGAAATATGATATACAATGGCTCATCACATATTACGCAGTTGTTAAACCTCATTGTGTATATATTAGCGTAACAGTCGGTAATGTGTTTACGAGTACTATATGTAATATCCATGTCTCTGCACTCACACATACACCATTGACATAATTTATATGTGCTACCGTCACAATAATAACTATATATGGCACACTTTTTCATCGATAAATTCAGTGTTAGAATTTCGCGACGAGACAGTCTTTTCCTAGTAGTCTTTGTATATTCCTCCGAGTCACTGATGTAGTCACTATCATCGAGTAATGGTTGATATTCTTCTTCTTCTTCTTCTTCATCGGTCTCATCTAATACCCTCTCGACATTCTCACTATCGTCGGATAATGGTTCATATTCTTCTTCTTCATCGGTCTCATCTAATAACCTCTCGAAATTATCACTATCATCGGATAATAGTTGATATTCTTCTTCTTCATCGGTCTCATCTAATAACCTCTCGAAATTATTGTCGATTTCCATTTCTTCGAAATTATTATTTGCTTTACTGACAGATCTACTGTGGTACAGTGGACTTGTGAACTGATTTATATATATCATAGGAAAGTCTGTGGAGAGGGAAATGTTTATCAAGTGTACGCGATAGCCGCGTACGCGTGCACCTTATATATCACTTTTTAACATTTTTTATCAAGTGTACGTGATAGCCGCATGCGTTAAGTGTCAGACTGTCAACCGCGCGAGCCGGGTTCGATTCCCGGCGAGCCGTCTTTTTCTTCTCGATATTAATTTTATTATGTAGAAGATGGAGGGGGGGATTAGTCATGCGGCTCACACGTACACCGTACCTAACTCAGTCGCTCTGACTCGGGCGCGGAGCGCGGGGTGTACGAAGGTCTGTGTGTGGGGTGGGGGCTCCCCTCCCGGCAGGTCTGTGTGTGGGGGCCTCCCCTCCCGGCAGGTCTGTGTGTGGGGGCTCTCCTCCCGGCAGACCGTGTACCCCGCACCCCACTAACTCGAGTCAGAGCGACCGTGAGGTGGTACCATCACAGGTCTTCTACTAGAAAGATTTATTATTTATAAATTAGCAAAATTTCCAAACAGGGCTCTACACGCATACGCGTGTGTCTGTGTGTTTTAAATTATATTTCGATAACCTGTGTCCAAAAGCAACGGTGTCCAATTGTATGGTGCGCAAAAGAACAGTGTCCAAATGAACGGTGCGCTAAAGAACTGTGCGCAAAAGAACTGTGCGCAACATTATGTCCAATAGCACTGTGTGCAATTGCATCGTGTCCAATTGTACTGTGCGCAATTGAGCCTCTCCCGTGGACGCCTCTGCCGCCCAAGAGAGTAGTGGACTCCCCCTGCGGGGAGGAGTCCCCCCTTCCCCCACATCACCGGGGGAGGGCGTGCGAAGGCCCGCCTATCAAACGGCGGGCCGGTGCGGGGGGCGTCCAGAAGTAATGGCTCTGCCAATTCCTGGGCGTCCCCCAAGTTACAGCACCGCGCAGTCCACCGTGTGGTTTTAGTGAGGTAAGCCCAGCGGCCGCAACGTTAGCGGTCGCAGCCGATCGACACTAGGCGGGCAGTCCCACATAACCCGGGCCACTTTGTAAACTCCCTTCCCAGAGGGGGGCCCGGGTATCCATAAAGGATTTCCACACGTAAAAAAAAAAGTATAACGGATGAAACAAAACTGGATCTAATCGCAAGGCGATCGTCGGCGCGAGCTCCGCGCGTCGGAGCATAGGGTACACGAATATGTACAACGGAGTTTCGATCTATCCTAGCGCAGGATATCGTTCTATTTCGCGGGAGGCTGTCGGAGCGGGTTGCTCCGGGGTGACCGCGTACTCCTGGCGGTTACCGCGAGGCAAACGTCAATCGGCACCGGGATTGCTGCAGATCTCGCGGTCCGTGGCTCCGGTACTGGAAATGGCCTCGATCCCGCGGTTCTGGAAGGAAATGTTACGTGACGGTTCGCGGTCTGGACTATGTGGCCCGTATGGCAACCCACCCGAATATTACCCCCCTTGCTTCGGAAGAGGAGCAGCCGGAGCGGCCTCGGGGTCAGGAGCCCGCTCGGCGAGGGGCGCCTATAGGCCAAGCGGACCCGCGGTGGAAGCTGGGAGGCTACCACCGCCGTGCTTCACCAGGAACGCCTGGCGAAGACTCACTCCCGAGTCGGGTCGTCGGTGGGCTTTTATACCCTCGGTTGATGGGCGCGCAGTATGGTGCCGCGGGCGGGGAATTTGGCGGCAAACACCTGCCGCCGCTTTCATCGTTGCCGCCTATTGTGCGTCGCGGCAACGTCGCGTGCTCCGGTCTTGCGGAGCACTGCGTACCTGTTGCAGGTCCGCAGGCGTGCCGCGCTCCGGGCCGGATTTACTTCGTCACAAAGTAAAGAAAAAGACGTTTTGCAGTGCATTTCTTTCATCATATTTATTCAAAATAATCTCTCTCTGAGTCAATACACCGTCGTAAGCGATCATAAAACTTGTCGAAGCATGTCTGGTACTCGGCGGCCGGAATAGCCTTGAGGATGTCGGTCGAAGCCTTCTAGATGGTAGGAATCGTACTGTAGGTGTTCCTCTTCATCGCTAATTTGAGTTTAAGAAATTGCCAGAAGTCGCACGGCACTAAAGCAGGCGAGTACGGCGGGTGGTCGAGCGTTATGATGCTTTTTTTGGCCAAAAACTCGCGTATAATTAGGGCTTTGTGCGACGGCGCATTGTCATGTAACAAAAACCAACTTCCAACTGCCTTATACTCCGGTCGAACACGATGAATTCCCATATGGAACAAAACATCTAATGGACGTCCACTGATCATCCATCATGAAAATTCAGAACTTCCAGTGGATGTCCACGTAACGTCCACGAACACTCCACTGATCGTCAAAATGTCCGCTTGTAACACCTCCACTGCACCTCCATTAGAAGTAATGATAGAGGTTCTATGGAAGTTATATACATATATTGAAGCTTTTATAGACATATAATGGAAATCTACTGGAGTTCCTTTTTGAAGGGTTAGGCATTTCATGGAACATTTTTGGATTTACTATGTATAATGGAGCTCTAATGGATGTTTTTCAGACATTTGTTGACATGTCTCAGGATCCGATAGTGAGAGGTGGAGACACGCATCGATCGATGAGGACGGCGTGGAGCGGGGAGCGGGGAGCAGCGGACGGCGAGTGACGCGCGGATAGTTCTCGCTATCGGATCTTGAGACATGTCAACAAATACACAATTTTGCATGTCTGCCGAGTCCGGTCTTCCGCTCCTCCGTGCACTTATTGGCTCAGACGTTTTTCTTAATTACGCGATAATAATTACGGATTTTGTAAAATTGTATGTAACTTTTCTTCTCAGTTTGACCCAATCTACTATAATCTTTGGAATGGTCCAAATAGAATCCGACACCCTGTATGTAATGTACGGTCAAAAGATGACATTTTTCGGAGACATAACGATTCCGATAGATCGTCGACGATATCACATGAAGATTCACACTCATCTTTACAAGGTAAGCAAGCACACTTATACATGGTGAGTTATATTTCATGTACCAGCCTTAATATTATTACTTTTCGATGCTTGTCGATACAAATCGACAGAATTATTATTCTGTCTTTGTTCAATATCCAATGAGCAATAAAGACAGAATGATACTTGTATCGATTTGTGTCGCTAGCTGGAAAGCAACCATGTTAAGATAAGAAGCTGATACACCAAATACAAAACTCACCTTTTATAAAGTATTATAAATAAAGAAAAGAACGAAGAAGGCTCAGTAATAAAATAATACAATGTATAAATATAATTAAGGCAATATGAGCCGTCACAGGATCGAAGGTGATCGGACGAAGTGTCGTCAATTTAAAGAAACATATCGTGTTCACATATTATATATTAACTAACATTAAACATTAAACGTTTCGGTCATCTCAAGTGACCCTCTTCAGTAATATAAAGAAAGGAT